AGTCGTTTTTCACAGAAAGCTTGAAAAAATATCCCCATATCACACAGATCTTGTAAATGAAGCTAATGATTGAGAATGGTAATAATAATTCCTTAGATTTATGTGGCATTTTATAACCCTCAAAGTATTTTTCTATATATTATTGTGCCACAGAGTCATAGATCTTCTAAGTTTGAAGGAACTACAACAGTCATCTAATTTAACTATTATTCCCCTCAAAGTCCTGATGGATAGGTCTTCTAGCCTTTGCTTGCATACCCCTCAGAGACAGGCAACTCATTACCCCCCGACTCAATCTACTCCACTGATGGATAGCTCCAATCCTTTAAATGGTTTCCCCTGCCATGGACAGAAATTTTGGTCCCTCTGTAGCCCCCCTCATTGAAGCCGACCAGTATAAATCTGCAGCATTTTCTGTGGGATGGTCCTTTTGTAAGAAACGTGTTCTCAAAGGTCTTCTCTTCTTTCCCATCAAACCAAACATTTCCTTTCATCCCCTTTCTCGAAACATTTTGTCACCAATGTTGTCACTACAGCTAACATTTTAGTAACAACTCTCACTTTTTGAGCACTTGTTGAAAGTCAGGTGCTGCACCAGGCAGAATTATGCCCAAGAGCAAAGACTCTCAATTGGACAGACAGGAGTTGGAATCTCAGCTTCAGCATTCACTGATGATGTGAACTTGAGCAAGTTATAAAACCTCACTAACTCCCAGGATCCTCACCTGTAAATGAAGGACAAAAACACTATCTATCTTACACAGCATTAGAAACATTAAATGGAATAATGCATATATCGCACCTAGACTGTGCCTGGCATAAAGTCCTCAAAGATGGTAGTCATTATTTTCACTGTGAAGGACATTTGCATGTGTCACCTCATTTGATACTCTGAGAATTGAGGAGTATTACATCAGTTCTTCAGATGATGAGGTTGAAATGGCCAAGGTCATAAAGCTAGTGACAGAGATATTGTCCAACCTTGGAGTTGACTTCCAAATCCTACACAGCCTTCATGTAACCATGGATTCCATGTAAGGAGGGAGTCCTTGTAAGAATTTACCCATAATATCTCATAATTTAAGTCAGCAATGAATGCATAGAGAAGAGAAATGCTGGTGCTATACAGATTAAAGGTGGTGGTTCTAGAGTCAGACTATATGGAGTTATTTTACCACTTAACCTTTGTGTGACCAAATCACACTGATAGTTATTAATTTTATTAACACTTCAGTTTCTTCATCTATGAAATAAACATAATAATAGTATCTACCTTAAGATTTGTCATGAGGATTAACTTTAATAATGCACAAAAACAAAATTTGGAACACTACCTGGCATATAGTAAATACTCAATAAATGTCAGGTATTATGATTACTTCTCTAGATCAGATAGCAAAATAGCAGCAAAAATAAGACTAAATGCAATGTCTTCTTACTCCTAGATTAGAGTCCTTTAAACACTGCTGCAAGGGTAATCTTAATAGCCGCTATTATAGTGTGCACACGATGTGCCCCAATATTAGGTGCTATTTATATATTTCCTCTGCTCTTCTCAATAACCCTGTGAGACTGGTATGATCAGTTTTGTTTCCTAGAAAAATAAACTGAGGCTCATAGAGGTGAAGGAACTCCCCCAGAGTAAAACTGTCAGGAAACAGGAAGAGAGACTGTGAATTTGGAACCTCTGCTCTCTTCTCTGCATGTGCTGCCTGCATGGCTCAGGCAGGCGTGTGACTGCTCAGAGGAGCAGAAGCTGGCACCATGGATTAGAAGAGAGGAACCTCCACTCCGGGGTTCAGTGAGTACTTCCTCGTCGCATGACCCTTGGGATATTAAGAGTCAGATGACGCAACCTTCTGAGACAAAGTAGAACTCAACTCAAGACTTAACAAGTCTGAAAGAGCATGCTGGGTCCACTCCAGTAGGCATGGATTGTAGCAGGTTCCAGAGACTAAGCCGGAACTGGTTGCCCTGCGTGGGCAGACAGGACGTTTGCTAAGAAAAGAGAAGGGAGATCATTGACCCTGACTTCCAGAGATCTGACTGGATGATTTGGGTCTTCTCACAAACTATCTCAGATCTTCACCAAAGATGAAAACAATGGGAAATTCGACAGAGTGAGAGCCATGGTGTCATGAGTTTGGAATCTTGGGAAAAGTCTGGTCCCAGAACCGCTTTTCTGTTAGCCAAGTAGCCTTAGGCAAGTCAATTAAACTCGCTGAGTCTCAGATTTCTCATCTGTGAAATGAGAAGACAGATCCCAGCCACTATGAATGCCATTTTGAATGGTTGCTTTGGGGATAGGAGAGCGAGAAAACTCTTTTTGTTCTTGCTGAATTGTCTGTGGCCAGAATGTCAAGGACAGAATTTGAGCCATAGAGAGGCCTGTCCTCCGGGCCAAGCCACGTTGACTGGCTGGGGGATCCTGGACAAGTCCTAGCCTGTGTTTCGACCTCAGTTTATCCATCTATGAAATGAAAGGATATAATAGATCAGCACATCTCAACAATAAACGTGTCATTAATAATAAAAGCTAAGGCTCTTACGTGCCAAGCAACTCTTATCCAAGTGTTGGGTGTACCTATACAATAAGTATTATTATAACCCTCACTTACAGATGACAAAAACAAGGCACGGGGGGGTTAAATACTTTGCCCAAGATCACCCAGAGTGTGAAGTGGCAACATGGGACTTTACATCTTAGCACTCGGGTTCTGAAATCTATGCTATAACCTCCAAGTCGTCCTACCTCTAGAGAGAGCGCAGCGCTCCCTGAAGCATGTCCCACCTCTGAGAGTTCAAAGCGTGGGGTCCCAAACTTCCTGGCCATGACTCTGCCTCCCGAGGGTAAGGTGAGGGCAGGAAAGATGCAGATTTTGGAGCCCCAAAGGAGGAAACGAACTGGTGGAACCACAAGGTGGTAGGCTTGGGCCACTCCAGCGCATGGGCAGGGAGGGTCTGAAGAGTGCCAACCTCAGCACAGCCTCCTCTGCTGGCCACATCCTGAATGACAGGGAATCTCAGAGATATCTGGGTCTTAGAGCAGAAGGGAATGGTGAGAAACACCTACAGTCCTTGGGGAGACAGTCTGATTTAGTGGAGCTAACATCAGGCCTGGAGGCAGAAAGCCCACTTAAAAAAGGTCATTTATAATTGAGATAGTACTATCGGGTTACTGGGTTACGGGAAGGATGTATGTAAGTGAATGCTGTGCCAGAACACAGAAAGTGCTTAAGCAATGCTAGCCAAAACCAAGTCTCACTTTCGAACATTAAAAGACGTGCAGCTATGCCCTCCAACCCTTCTTAACATGAGATGGTACCCAGGCCCCTCCGCCTGAGGAATTCAGCAAGTACCCTGAGATGGCACTTACAAACCTGCACCCCAAAGTTAGCATGCAGGCACCCGCTTGGCTTGGCGTGTGGCTGCATCTTTCACTAAATATATACATGGGAAAAGTCTATCACACTCATTCCATGAATAACACAAAGGCCTTGATTTGTTCCTCCACGTGATGAGCATGCAGTTAGGTCCAAAATTAACGTTGCTGTCTGGCTGGGGTATGTGTGTGTTTTTCCAAAAAGAGAAAACTTCCAAGCTCGTACTCAGCCCTAATCAGAGTGTCTAAGGCACAGTGTTCTTTGAAGAGGAACCAGGAGAACAGAGACCGAAAGCAAAGATGGGCTCCACTGTAGCCTTTCAATAAATACTGTTGACTGTTGAATGGAAGGAAGAAATGACAGGGTGGGTGGTAGCCCTGCTTCGTTGAATAGTGTCATGCCAATCACTTCATCTCTCTGAGCCATACCCTCCTCACAAACAGGTTGAGAACAACATTTCCTCAAGCATCTGGCAGAGCTGTGCTAAAGGAGAAAATAATGTAAGGGTGACTTGAGGAGTAAAAAGTACTAGGGGATGTCAATTGTAGCTATTATCTGATCTCTTCTTGAGCCAATTAGACCCCATACATTCTGCAGGCTGAATTTGTTTTTTTCTGTCTACTGCACAAAGCCATTAATTACAGCTTTTTAAAGAAACCATTAATATAGCCTGCATACATTTAGACTACCATTTAAGTGATCTCAGCTCTAATAGCCTTCCCTGAGGAGGCAGCAGACTCAGAAAGTTCTAGATCATGGGGCCAAGAGAGGTGGCAGGCCACTTCACCTCTCTGTACCCATAATATGGAGGTGACATGCCAGACTTCACACATTCTTGGCAAGAATACAATGAGATAATGTCCATAAATGTGCCCAGCACAGTGCTTGACACATAGTAGAAACTCAGTAAATTCTTGCATTGAGAGAAACAGAGTGTGGGGACCTAGTTCAAGCTTTGTAGCCAGATATGCTTGGGTTCGAATACCCAAGAGCAGTTCCATCTTTTACTAGCTATGAGAACTGGAGCAAGCTTCTTTGCCCCTCTGACTCACTATTCATAACTATAACGTGAGGGCAGTGGAGGGGCTTCCATGTGCAACCGCACTGGCTATGCCCAATCCAGCTCCACGGGCCATCATATACTGTCTACACTGAAGGGGGTGGTGTGAGGGTTAGAGCACCTGGCACATTAAGGGTGCTTGGGAAAGGGCAGCCCCATGCCAATTTTGCTCCAATTTTGTTTGTTCAGTCATTCTTGGAAAGGCCAGTTGTATTTTGGAGCACTGAACCTCAGCCCTCAGCAAAGCAAGCCAAACACGTGACATGTTAAACAGCTATTCCCAGAGATGTCGGCCAAAAGGCCAAGGAGTTGGAGACCCTTGATTTTCTTCTCTGAAGCACAATTAGTTTGTCACAGCTGACAGATGATGGATGGGCATGCATCAGTCCAAGTGACGCCACGGAATCCATCTGACCTTCCGTTTATCATTCTAACCTCTCACAATGTGCCAGCTCTTTCCCTCCATCTGCTGGCAAGCCCCTGCCTCCCTCTATCCTCTCTCCACCTCGTCCTCCCCTGCCCCCTCAGGTCCCCCCAACTCATTCCCACTCACTCACCATCACGGAAATGTGGAGAATGTGCATCTGCTCCTCTACAATCTCAGAGGGCTCCTGGAGCGTGGGGGCGGTGGCCCGGGCCAGCTGCCCGGAGCTGCTCATGGAGACGTGGAAGTACAAGGTGCCATTCTCCAGCCACTGCTGTCTCCAGTGCACCAGGGAGATGTCCGCCGCGGTGCCCGACATCTCTGCAAGACAGGACCCAAGGCGCCCGGTGAGCTAATAATGCCTGGCCTCGGTGCTCCAGGGAGGAAAGGAGCCAAACATATTCAGAAGCTCAAAGGGCATCTACTGTGTACCAGGATACCTTTCCCCAGCTCCATCCTATGAGCCAGAAATCATCACTTTCATTTATAAATGGGTCAACTGCAGGCAAGATTCTCCCCAAGCAACAGAACGTCAGTGGCAGGATTTGAACCCAGGTCTGCCTGGTGCCCTTTTTTTATAGCACCATGCATGATAATTCATTCTACTCCAACAGTAGTAGCGAACTAAGCAAGAGGTGAAAGTGCCTACATTCTTGTGAGGCCATGGAACTAGAACTTGAAGGAAGCACATCTATGAGAAGAGTGGGAGTTCAGAGTGTGAATTCTTTATAAGCTGAGCTGGAAGAGCTCATGACAGAACCACAGAACCTCAGAGCTGGAAGGGCCCAAGAGAACATCAGCCCAGTGAGGTGCCCCAGGGTCATCCCTTATGGGAAAGGAGTTTGGGAAGTGAGTTGTTCTGAGCCATTTCTCCTGCTTCAATCAGAGCAGCTCCATTTCTTTGTAGTGTATATACTGTAGTGTATATACTTTGTAGTGTAAGTAAGGAAGTGTTGACACAAAAATTTCCATGGCTTAAAAATACTTGAAAAGCCACTGTCCCACCCCAGTGCCCCCATATAACCAATGGGAATTTAGAACTTTCTAGTAAATTGTAAAATCAGCTGACTTGAAGTTCCTAACTCTTTCCTCTATGCTGTTTTTCACTCTGTAAATACTTTTTTAAAACATATTTATAATTTTAATAGTACTTCCATTCTATATAAGAATACCAACATAGCCTCTTGTTAAATAAGAAGGGGGATAGCATAAGGTAACAAAAGTGTCCTTGCACTTGGATCACAGAATCTTTTCATGGTGCCAAAGGGATGTGTCCCTGGAAATGTCCTAGAAGAACAAGGCCTAGCAGTGTGTCTTGTGAAGGAAAGAAAATGTGGGAGGGAGGGGTTCCTGGAGAATTATCAGGTCTTCACTCATCTGAGAGCTACTACAGGTGACAGAGGCAATCCATCAGTAGACAAGTAGCTTTCATAGTGCCTGGGGCTTGGGACTTGGGACTCCCTTCCCAAGATACAGAGCTGACAAAGAGGCAGTATTCCTACAGTCCCCAAAGACCTCATCTACGGGCACACACACACGCTCTTGAGGACTGATGAGGGAAGTAGAGTTAGACCTTGTTACCCAGTCAACTCTCCCCATGCCCAGTGCAGCCCGCATCACACCTGGTGACAAAGAATGAAAAAGAGTCGCTTTGAAGAGATGAGGAGATGATGTTTGATCACCAAATTCTACAGAATTATTCTTGCATCATCCATTCCCAATAGACTCTAACTCCTTGAGGTTTACAATCAGAAGTCCTTAGGGAAAGAACATCTGGTACTTAATAAGTGCTATAAAAATCTAGCTATTAATATTTATTACCATTATTATTATTAATAGGGACAGGATCTAATTCACCTTCGGCTGCTCTGAAAAAGATCTTGAGACATCCTTGACGACTTGTTTTCTCTCCCACTTGTCTTCCACTCCATCAGGAAATCCTTCAAAAGCCATCCAAAATTCAACCCTTCTCACCTCCTCCACTGGAACCACCTGGGCCGAGGCACCATCCTTTCTTGCCTGGCTTACTGCAAGGGCTTCTTACCCTGCCCCTTCTTCCACTCTTGCCTCTTCTGTCTATTCTCAACCAGAAGCCAGAGGAATCCTGTCACAGCATCAATCAGCTCAAGTCACTCCTGTGCTCTAAACCCTGAACAGCCCCCCACCTCATGCCAAGTAAAAGACAAAGTGACCAAAACACACTAAGTTATGAGTCCAAGTGAAAACCCGCTTGGGTTTCCCTTGCTGCACCAAGAATTGAGCAAGGCTGGAGATAATCACAACAGTTCATTGGCTCCTCAAACGTGGGAGCCCCAGCTCGCTGGGGGCCCCAGGGGAGGAGACTGGCTAGGCACCCAATTTGTGGAGCAGGACTCTCCCCAGCACCTTCTCTCCCCCACCACCCTACCTCCCAGCCTCAGCACCCAAGGCCTTGGCATCAGCTTCTTTGGCAGTCAGCCTTCTGGGCAGAGGCAAGGAGAAGACATTATGGTAAATGGCACTTGCTCAGTAGCTCACTCACTTTCCTCCCAGTGCATCAAAGCCAAAACCAGATGACCAGGGACCCCAGGGCTGAGAGTTGTCTCTGGAAACAGTTGTCTCTCACAGAACAGCTCAAGAAGGCGGATCCATGTGCTGCTGGCTGGGCAGGCACTCATGGTGCTGAGAGTCCAATGGTGCAATGGCACCAGCAGAAAGCCCCAAGGCAGGCCACCTCTGGTTGACACAGCCTGGTATAGATGAGGCAGAGTAAGCGTGGGAATGCTTGCTGAAATCTGCGCTCCTTACTCCTGGAGGTCTCCCAAGCCTGTGCCTGACATCCCACCATTCAAGAGGCTTGTCCTCCCCACGTTCAGATTAGAAAACAGAGGTTCACAAAGGGTTAGTCACTTGCTTAAGGTCACTGGTGAATTTGTCCCCAGCTGGGCCCAGTGGATTTCCAGTCCACGCAATTTCTACTACGCCAGTTGCTCTCACAACGTCTCCTTCTCCTTGACTAAATTAGTCCACGAACAAAGACCAGATTGAGCTCTTTGTTTGCTATGACGCTGAGTGCATAGTCAGCAGACAGTCAACGTTAAACGATAATAACAGTGTGTGAAACACAGTAAATACTGAATCACAGAGTACAGCCCTGGACTTACGCTATTACAAAGAAAAGAAAGTGTGGTTGGGGTGGCAAGGAGGGGCAGGACACCTTGAAAAGAAAACTGCTTCAGCAGAAGCAGAAGACTCTGCTCATTCACTCATTTATTCACGTGTTTGTTTGTTTATTCATTCAACACAATTTATTGAGGATCTATTTATTCCATTGCAGGCAGGTTAGGAGCTCAGAATATGGAGTGAAATGAGACACAACCTTCCTTCAGGAAGCTCTCAGTCCTTCAGTAGCAGAAATTCCATCCTCTCTCCCTCCCATGTCACTCCCCACACGTGTACACTCTCCATTTAATGTGGCCCAAGAGACTGTGCATTTTCCTGTCCCCCCTCCTTCCATCATCCCCTCATGGTATGCTCCAGCTCTACAGCTGTTCCTCAAACAGTCCAGGTTTCCTCTTGCCTTAGGGCATAAGTACTTTCTGTCCAGTCTGTCTGGAACTTTCCTCGAGAGCTTGCAAGCTGTCTTCTTGTCAGTTTGTCTCTCAGTCCAAATGACACCTTCTTAGAGAGACCCTGCCAGCCTTAGCTAAAGTACTCCTCTCCACATACGTCCACTCTCTACGATATCTCCTTTACAAAAACCTTCTAGTGTACTTATCACTACTAGAAATTTACTTTATGTATTTTCTTTTTTTTTTTTTTGAGGAAGATTAGCCCTGAGCTAACTGCTGTCAATCCTCCTCTTTTTGCTGAGGAAGGCTGGCCCTGAGCTAACATCCATGCCTATCTTCCTCTACTTTATATGTGGGATGCCTACCACAGCATGGCGTGCCAAGTGGTGCCATGTCTGAACCCGGGATCGGAACTGGCGAACCCCAGGCCACCAGAAGCGGAACGTGCGCACTTAACCACTGAGCCACCAGGCCGGCCCTACTTTATGCATTTTCTTGAGTGTTTAATGTCTGTCTCTCTAGGAGAGCAAGGACCTCACATGTCTTATTTCCTGCCATATCTCAAGTACTTTGAAAATTGCTTGGCAAATAGTAAGTGTTCAATAAATAATGACTGAATTGCTGATTACAAATACGTACATACACACACACACACGTAGTTACTCATGTCCATGACAAAATGATGGCGATAGTGTTAAGTCTCATTAGAGAATTAAGAAAGGGTAAAGTAAAGCTCTATTGGGATCTCAAAGGTGGGACAGGACTCTCCTACCTTGGAGATCAAGAACCATTCCAAAAACGTGGTAGCATGAGCGTTGCAGAGGATGGGCATTTAGCTGGCCCTCAGAGAGAAGGAGACAACAGAGATGGCTGAGTGGATGGGTATCTCAGGGCACAGAAGCTGCGTGCATATGCAAATAAGTGTGTGGAAATGTCAGGTTGGAAATGCAGCTCAGACACACAGTTAAGGGCTTTGAATGCATGGTGATAGAGTCTATTCTATTTGGCATGCAGTAGGGAATCAGCGGAGTACGCTTGATCAGAGAGCCGGTCCTGTGTCCATTAAAAATAGGTCAAAGAAATACTAGCATAACCAAGGCCAGCTCTTGCAATTCCCCCGCTGACTGATTTTCCTATTGCATTTTCCCTCTCCTCTTCCCCTAGGCCTTCCATATAAACATTTCATTGAAGTCTTCAAGTCATATTACAATCAAACTTAAAGCAAAAGGGGGACTAAACGCATTTGGTCGGGAACCAAGATGATTCCCATAAAGGCAGATTATGCTGACATGATGAATATAAAATGAAACAGCAGATATTAAAGTGGAGAATTGGTGCACCATGCCTTCCGGCGGTAGGTTGACTCCAGCGCCCGCCTCCTTCCCAACCAGAAGAGCTTGGTTTTATTCGGAATCATAAAGAAAACACAGGGGTTGCCTTTTCACCTTTCACTGTTCTCCTCCCCAACCCTGGGCTGCAACTCGTGAAATATTCAATAGGCTCTAATCCCCTCAATCACCCGACTAAAGACAAGAGATCAGCCTTCATCAGTGATTCTGGGTAGACCGCCATCCTGCCTCAGCAGCCACAGATGCCTTCCAGCCTCCTGAAAATGAAATAAAAAATCCTGAAGGCGTGTTGTGCTTTTAATTGGCTTGTTCTTCCTAATCTATGGCACTCATTGTATTTTTATTTAATTCCTGAAGGTCATTATGAAAATAAGCAGTTCTTCTGATCACAAGCCATCTTGGTAACATCTCCCAAGTGGCT